TCGGGAGCGGGCGGGGAGCGCCGCCCCATCTCCGCGGGGCGCGGAGCCCCGAGCACCCGGGCCGGCCTCGGAAGCACCGCGGGATCCCCCCGGGCAGAGGCTGCCCGACCGGGCCGGGGGGTCCTGCCGGCGCCTGGGGGTCCTGCCGACCTGACCTCACCCTGCCGCGGGTGAGGGGCAGCCCGCCCCGGGAAAGGGTCCTTTTCGGGACATTTGTGTTTTAAAAGGACGAAGAGACGAGGCTTTGACCTACGCGGCAGCTGGAGCTCCTAAAAGCCCTGCCCGCCTGCCGGGAGAGCAAGGGGAAGCTCCCCGGGCGTGGAACGGGCAGCACCGGGGCCGTTGGCCGTTTTCTGCCCGCACTCCCACACGCCCTCCGAGCCGCTCCCCCTGTGCTCGCCCTCGTGCCGGGAGGCGAACCGCCAACACGGGCACGGGGCTTCGTCCAGCGCCGAGCACCGGCGGCGGGAGCGCTCGTGGGGCTCGGCCACGGCTGAACCTCCGGGAGCCGGCAGCGGGGCTGAGGGAGAGCCCCTGCCCTTCCCCGGGGGGGGGGGGGGGGCGCGTGTCAAGGGGCCCGAGGGAGATATGGGGGCACTGTGAGTTTGTCCCCGGTCGGAGGCCGGGAGAGGGCAGACGGCCCGCCGGGATGCAAACCGCCTTCCGCGGAGCAGCCCCCGGCCTTCGTGGCTCCCCCAGTTACACATCACCGGTGCTCCGGCTGAAATGCTGCCCTCCCTTTCTGTCCGCTGACAAAACAAGGTTAAAAAACCAAACCCAGCAAAAAGCCAAAACCAAACCGACAAAAAACCACAGAACAGAAAAATACCCAAACCCACAGAAGTGTTGCTGACTGTCTCCAGGATCCTACTCGCAGACTTGCCCGGTGGAACACCCCGGGCCGGGCCGGCCCCGCCTCGGGGCACAGGGGCTGGAGATTGCTGCTCATCTTGCAGCATCATTTGGAAGATAAACACGGCCCCCAGCCCTCTCCTCGCACAGAGGGAGGGCTTTGCTGCGGCCCTGGGAGATGCTCGTCAGAGAACAAAATACTGTTGCGGTGACCTCCAAAGCCCAGTCACTTCCCTCCAGCACCGCCGGGCCTCCCTGGGTGCCCGCACCCACCGAAAACGCTGGCCGAAAAGGGCTTTTCTGTTGCCGCTTCTTCGGTTTGGCGATGGGTGCGTGTTTGGGGTTTTTTTGGACGGGGGGGTGTGGTTTAGTTTTTGTTTTGTTTTGTTTTTTTTTTACTTGGGATGCTCTACGCTGCTTTCACCCGTTAGCAGGGCAGACAGACCACCCCCCCGCCCCGCTGCCGCCCACGCCGGGAGAGCGAGGGTCCGGCCCCGGCCCGCCGCCCACAGCCCCCGTCGCCGGGAGAGGCTGCAGCCTGCGGGGACGTCTCCCCGGCTCGGGCCGCCAAAACCACGCACCAGCCCCAAACTGCCACCGGAGAAACAAACAAACAAGCAAAACCCAACCAAACAAGAGCACGTTTCCAAAGCTGTCTGCCAAAAACTAACGAACAAAGCCGTGCCGGCGCTCGGTGGCACAGGCGGGGGCGGCAGGGCGGGCTGGCGGGGGGCGGAGGGACCCCCGGCACTGCCCAGCCCAGCCCGGCTCCCCCGGCTGGGCCGGAGACAACTTTGCGGAGCGAATTTTCCAGTCGGCGATGCGCAGACCGGCCTGGGTCCGCCGGCAGCCGTGTTGAAAAGGGGGATGACCCTTCCCCGGAGGAGGATGAAACCTCTGGACCACCTCTTCCTGGCAGCGCTACAGAGAGGAAAGCCCCTTGCTCGCCGGGTGATGCCCATGCAAGGAGCGGGGTGGGCGGGCAAGGGGGATTTTCCGGGGACGGGCCCCTTCCCCCGCCGTGCAGCCGCGGCGAGCACCGGCAGTACCCGGGCACGGCAGGACAGCCCGCCGGGAGCTGAAGTTGCGCGGCCGAGGCTCCGGGGATGCTCCCCGCACTACGAGCGCTGGTCGGAGGGAGCGGGTGCAGAGGCCACATAAGCGGGGGTGATACGGGGAAATCCCGAAGGCTGACATATTTTTAAAAGAGGAAACAAATAAACAAACAAAAAACCCCACCCCAAACAAAACCCTCTGATCAATAACACAAGGAAAAAATCCTCCCAAATATTTATTTTCCGCTTTTTTTTTTCCAGTCGTGCCGCATCTTTCCCTATCCTCTCGCAGAATGTTTGTAAAATAGCATTAAAGATTTATGCGGTCCCTTTGGCTGGAGGGAGGAGGCGTGACCACGTCCTGAAAGTGTCCCGATTACAGCCATGACACCAACATCTGTGCTGGGAGGGGAGAAAAGCATCTCTTTCGTAGCCTGAGGCTCAACTGTGGGATCGCTATCCACAGAGGGGAGGCAGGTGGCAAAATGACGGGGGTGGGGTGTAAAAACAAGGCCTTTCCAACAGGAATCAAATTAAAAAAAAAAACCCATGCAATCCTTCTTTCTCCATCCTGTGACAAGAGGGGAAAGCTGGGCGCGGGGAGGGGGGTTAGTGCTGTGTTTTCTCAAGGAAAAAGACGATGCACTTTTATATTTAGCTGTATCTATAGAGCTGCATCTTATCTCAGCACATATCTGTACCCGGACAGTCTTGGAGCAAGTCAGACCACAGTTTCTCTCTCCATCCCCCAGCGCACCCCCATCACCCCCCCCCCGAAGTTCAGCTCTTGTACTTACACGTCTCTGTGCGACAACACTCACCCTCTAGCTGCGGGGGGCAGTGGAAGTAGAACATGGCCCTGCGGCCGGGTGGGCGCCCGCTGCCCGCCGCTGCGAGGCCGACGGCGGCCGGGGCCGGGGCCGGGGCCGGGGCCAGCCCGCGGGGCGCGGGGCTTCCGCGCACTCCCCGCACCGACACAGCGGCACCAGCTCCCCAGCCGGGCACCGCCACGCACCGCCGAGGTGTCTCCTGCCGACCTGAAGACAGAGAGAGGGAAAGAACAGAAAAGGTGAATAACCAGAAGAAAGCACCTAGAGAAACTCATTGAAAATCCTAGATCCCATCCCAGAGGAAGCAGAGAAAGTCTAACCCTGTGCAACGCACTGAAAAAGCCAAAGGCAGAAAACTCCGTGGTAGGTGCACAGTAATCAGAATCAGTAAAACTTTGTTGCTTCTCTTTGTTTTTATTTCGCCCCCGCCTAGCAGATTATCTATCTCTTGTTCTTCCATTCGTCCATGCTTCTATCTATCTATCTACCCATCTGTACATTCATCCATCCATCCATCTATACATTCATCCATCTATTTATCTGTCTGTCTGTCTATCTATCTAACTATCTGATTATCTCAAATGTTTCTTTCCGGAGCAAATAATTACATAAAGAAAAAACAATGCTTATAGCTAAAAACGAACTGTTAACAAAAAAAAAAAAAATCTAAATTATTCTGCCTAAATGAAACAGCAATAAAAGCTAAAAGCTGTCTTCTTTTTAAAGCATCCAACACACTGGGAGTTGTGTTCGGGTTGGAAACTAATGTCCTCGGCAAGAAAAAAAATCTATTCAAATTTATACGCAGTCATATAAAAAAATCCAGAAGGCAAATAAAAATAGTAATCCATACCTAAACCGAACAGAAGTAAAAATCACCAGTAAGGTTTGGGGGTATTTTGCACTGGAATAAGGCGCTGTGAGTTGTTGGCTGCAGAGACAGAAGGGCTCTGTGGAGTTCTGGAAGTGGCCAGATGTCTTTATATCTGTCTACAGCATGCTCTGCCTCTCAGCACTTGCCTTTATAATCTCACGCATAATTGGCCTTAATCTGATTATTTCCAGCGCTGTCTACAGTGAGTAACTTGGATAGGTCTATTGGGCCCTACAAATGGCCCACGTGGTGTGCAGAGCAGGGGAAAAAAAAAAAAAAAAGAAAGATGAAAAGAAAAAACCCATCATTTCTCAGCAAACACCAGGAATGTGAACAGCAGCAACAAAATCCCATTATTTTCTGAGCGTTAGCGCTCCGGGGCTCATCGGCCCCCGGCGGCCCCCCCCGCCCCGCACC